TATACAGCGCATTATACTGCCGGTTAAATCCCTTTGCCGCTGTACATGGTAATACAGAATAATTGTATTCCGAAAACTAATTACAACTACAAATATAGCCATGCTCATAAAAATACACCAAACTTCATATACATTGGAACATACGCAATAAACGAAAAGATAGATACATAAAGTAGACAAAATTAAGGCACATTATATTATTTACGTTCAAATTGACATGCAAACATTCTTTTCACTTCATGTTACATCACGGTTAAATTCAAGAAAATGGTTTCTAATATATATGGTTAGTCATGCGTGCAACAAAATAGACCTACATTGTAAATTAACGATGTATACGCAATTATTCATAATCTAATCAATATAAACAAAATACTCAAATTTCAGTAAACAATATTTTGCGTTTCAACGATATTTTGCTGATACCGAATGCAATACTTAATATTGATAAATCATGTTAATCAATACAAATACTTATAGTAATACCGCCACAACATCAACATCGTCAACAAGACCACAACAATAACAACAAAATCAACTACTACAACTACTATTACTAGTGTTAAATTGTGCTTTGGAATATTTTCGCAAAATGCGGTAATGTCTCAGTGCGCTATACAATAAACAATAAAAATATTAGTTCCATAAATACAGAAATATATCAAATATATTAAACTGAATGCCACATGATTTACTCTTAATAATGTTCTTGCATTACATGTAATAGTGTACAATCAGTTGAACTTGTAGAAAAACAGCTGATTGGATATTTAAAATTATTATGCATTTATATGCATTTATACAGCCTCAATTTATAGTTAGTCAGTAATGTATAACTTGCGTTGCAAAGACACTCCTTTGTATAGGCACATACAATTTGGCTACGTTATTTACAAATTATCACCAGACAAAATTACCAACTCAAATATATCAGACAAGATTTTTTTCCCCTTTCAAAATAAAAATCATAAATCATAAAAACCTTTAATATGACACATGCAACAGTTCATACACAAGATATATTGGATAGAACAACTATACAGTATTTTATTTGTGAAATAAAAAGTGGTCTTCATTTGGCCTTTTTGGAAGGTCGATACAGGCCTTAATATACGACTAAATACATTCCTTCATTTCCTATCTGTGGATACAACTTCAAACGGTTTTGCCTATAAATCTTTCGCTTGTAGGAAATCACATGCTTACATCGTCAATATAAGCATATCAATAATAAAATCGTTTCTATGTTTACATTCCATTTTGAGAAAATCAATCTATATTTTTGGTTTAAGTAGTCATGCACACAGAAAATAAGCCTGCAAGTTAGCAAATTTCATGACCTTGTCCAATAGTGTGTTTTTGATAGATGATGGGGTATTAATAAATTATGATTACGTGGCTCAGAAAAGGGTAAAATAGAAACGGTCATCATTTTTGTTTTTACTTTTTGTTGGTTCGTTCATATAGTTGGTTCGTTTATACTTTTTGTTCTCTGTATATATATTCATGTTATTTTTTATTTTTGCATTACCGTTTGCATATTCTGTATTTATATATTTTATTTTATTTTAACAAATTAATCTCACTTGTTCATGTTTGCCGTGTTTATAGTCTCTCATTTATAGCATCCATTTTGGTTCTGAGAAGTAATAGATGACTAATAGATAAATCATAAAAGACAATTGATTTTAATGGCACAGAAATAATTTTGACAATGCCTGTTGCACACGAGGTTGCGTTTAGATTGCTTTATTTCCTTGCTTTAACCGAGCTAGGTGATTCAGTTAGGATATAACACTCTTAATTCGAAGGGAGGTTTGCACTGTTTGATTTGCACTCACTTTTCGGTACGATATTACTCTCTTATGTTGCGTCAATGCCTCCGCCAATCGCTGACACGGGCAGGGGCGTCGCCAAAGGGGGGGGGGGGTGTGGGGGGTGCGACACCCCCCCCCCACCTGTCAATATTTTGTCGGTAAAATTGCGCTGCCGTCGGGAAAAAGAGAAAAGGGGGGGGAAGAGGGAAAAAAGAGAGGGAAAAAAAAGGGAGGGAAAAAAAGAGAGGGAAAAAAAAGAGAGGGAAAAAAGAGAGGGAAAGGGAAAGAAAAGAAAAAAGAAAAGGAAAAGAAAAGATAAAAAAAGAAAAGGAAAAGAAAAGAAAGAAAGGAAAAGAAAGGAAAGAAAGGAAAAGAAAGGAAAGAAAAGAGAAGAAAGAAAGAGAAAAAAGAAAAAGAGGGAGGAGAGGAAAGAAAGGAAAAGAAAGAAAAGAAAGAAAAGGAAAAAGAAGAAAAAAGAGGGAAAGGGAAACAAAAAATACGGGGGATGAAAGAGAGGAGAGAGAGGGGAGATAAGAGTCTGAGAGAGGAGGAGTGGGAGTAAAAGAGAGAAGGGGTTGTTGGGTGGAGTCGTCTCGTCGAGGGAGCAAGCAAGACACGGGTAAATATGTTGCTGTGTCGTGTCAGCTGTGTCGGTATTCTTGCTCGATCCTCGTGTACTATATCAATGCAGAAGTTTAAAGTCGGTGAGATGTATATTGTTGGTCGGCCGACAAGTTTTTTTCCCTACGAACTGTGATTTCTTATCCGTTGTGACCATTTCGAGAGTGACTACAACTACAATACTTGTATTTTCTCGAAGTTTCACTTTCCTATAAGTTCAGCTAAAGAAATCAGAGGTTTAACATTTTCGGGGAAACTCAATTCAAACAAGGTTTAAGAATCAAAAACGGTACGACGAATCCTCTTCCTTTCTTTATACTGTGATGGAAGGCCAAAAATTCCGCGCTTCGCGCGGAAGGTGAAACTTCATTTAGACGAGTCGAGAACGGTACAACGAAATCGTCTTCTATCTCTAATAATTTAAGGAAACGTCAAAGCTTCCGCGCTTCGCGCGAAAGTGGGAAACTGAATTCAGACAAATAGGGCTTATTAAAAGTCGAAAACGGTACAACGAATCGTGTTCTTTCTCTAATAATTTGAGGAAACGTCAAGGCTTTCGAGCTTCGCGCGAGAGGGGGAAACTGAATTAAGATGAAAAGGGCTTAATAAGATTCGAAAACGGAACGAGGAATCGTCTTCCTTTCTATATATTGTGATGAAACGCCAAAAATTCCGCGCTTCGCGCGGAAGGGGAAAAACTTCATTTAGACGACTCGAGAACGGAACGACGAATCGTGTTCTTTCTCTTGTAAATTGAGGAAACGTCAAAGCTTTCGCGCTTCGCGCGAAAGGGGGAAACTGAATTCAGATGAATAGGGCTTAATAAGATTAGAAAACGGTACGAGGAATCGTCTTTCTATCTCTATATTGTGATGAAACGCCAAAAATTCCGCGCTTCGCGCGAAAGGGGAAAACTTCATTTAGACGAGTCGAGAACGGTACAACGAATCGCCTTCTTTCTCTAATAATTTAAGGAAACGTCAAAGCGAGAGGGAGAAACTGAATTCAGACAAAATTAATAGGGCTTATTTAGAGTCGAAAACGGTACAACGTATCGTGTTTTTTCTCTAATAATTTGAGGAAACGTCAAAGTTTTCGCGCTTTGCGCGAGAGGGGGAAACTGAATTGAGATGAATAGGGCTTAATAAGAGTCGAAAACAGTACGATGAATCGTCTTCCTTTCTCTATATTGTGATGAAACGCAAAAAAATCCGCGCTTAGCGCGGAAGGGGAAAACTTCATTTAGACAAGTCGAGAACGGTACAACGAATCGTCTTCTTTCTCTAATAATTTAAGGAAACGTCAAAGCTTCCGCGCTTCGCGCGAGAGGGGTAAACTGAATTCAGACAAAATTAATAGGGCTTATTCAGAGTCGAAAACGGTACAACGAATCGTGTTCTTTCTCTAATAATTTAAGGAAACGTCAAAGCTTCCGCGCTTCGCGCGAGAGGGGTAAACTGAATTCAGACAAAATTAATAGGGCTTATTCAGAGTCGAAAACGGTACAACGAATCGTGTTCTTTCTCTAATAATTTAAGGAAACGTCAAAGCTTCCGCACTTCGCGCGAGAGGGGGAAACTGAATTCAGATGAATAGGCCTTATTAAGAGTCGAAAACGGTATGACGAATCGTCTTCTTTCTCTAATAATTTAATGAAACGTTTAAACTTCCGCGCTTCGCGCGGGAGGGGGAAGCTTCATTCAGATAAGGATTAAGAGTCGAGAACAGTACACCGAATCGTCTGCTTTTTCTCATAATTTAATGAAAGGTCAAAGCTTCCGCGCTTTGCACGGGAGGGGGGGGGGAACTGAATTCAGAAAAGGATAAACAGTCGAGAACGGTAGAGCAAATCGTCTTCTTTTTTATAATAATTCAATGAAACGCCAAAGCTTTCGCGCGGGAGGGGGGGGGGGAACTTCATTGAGCCAAGGATTATCAGTCGAAAACGGTATTATATTAATCGTCTTCTTTTCCTAATAATTTAAGGAAACGTCTAAGCTTCCGCGCTTCGCGCGGGAGGCCCATCACCCACAACCCCTTAATGAGCGCGCTTTTAAGTGATTCTCTTGCTCACTACCGCCCCTCCCTAAAATAAGATCCAGCTCCGCGCCTGCATTAAAATGTCTAGCTATGATGCTGACTAAATTGAAGAAATAATTCGTATATTTATGTCGTCGAGGAAAATGACCATTTTGCGCATATGCAAGTACAAGAGATAGTCCATAGGAAAAACAATTTAGCCTTCGGCCCCAGGTTTATAGGGTTGAATTTTTCGATATTGGACATTTAATTTTGTCGGTAATTGGTGGCTAGTTTTGTCGGCAATCGTAAGCCTCTACACCCCCCCCCCCCCCCACTGAAAAAGGTCTAGCGACGCCCCTGGACACGGGAGGTTGTGGGTTCGAACCCCGGCCGCGTCATACCAAAAGACGTTAACAGACGGGAGTTGCTGCTACCTTGTTTGGCGTATAACAATAAGGGATAGAACAACGTCGATCTGGCGCTGCTTATAGTGGCTGCCGGGCTCACGATCGATTGGGCAAAAAGAATTTCCATTTTCGGTTTAACTTAATAAAATTTGGAGTGGACTTTAAAAGATAATTGTTATTATTATTATTATTATATACTCTAGGAACATACAATATCGTGTACATTCTCTACATAGCAAATGTGGTGTGTAAAGCACTGCTAGTTGCACAATTCAAATTCGAATAGAATTATTACTTATTTACTTTTCTAATAATGAATATTTTTCCATCGTACATTTAATAAAATTTCAATCATGATATTTTACAACATTTTGGCCCTTTCACAAGGTTTGAGATTTTCAGCGTGTAAATCCACTTATCACCCTTTAAAGTATATTAAATGCAAGAACAGTAAGAGTAACATTATGAAGGGAATTCAAAATCACAATCACAAGAGCTGCAATACCGATGTAAAGCATATATTACACATCCGTCTAAATCATATTAATGTCAACGTGATTCAGTGGATGAATACTGAAATCGATTGCATGACAATGGTAAAAGAAAAGGGATGATGATTGAGGCACTTTTCATTTCAGCCCATATTTCCTGTTTGTGTGCAAAGATTGTCTGCTCCGTCTGATTCGTCAGATCGAGTGTGGTGCCATCTCTACGATTAATCAAATAAAAGACTATAGTGATGGGGATAGAGAGCGAGCGAGAGAGAGAGAGAGAGAGAGAGAGAGGGGGGGGGGGGAGAGAGAGAGAGAGAGAGAGAGAGAGAGGGAGAGAGAGAGAGAGAGAGAAAGAGAGAGAGAGAAGTGTAAATGTGTGCATCAACATACAAACAGCGCAACATTACAACATAATCATATAGAGCAGTAAACGGAGGGCAAAGAAGAGAGATTGTATATCACACAGCTTTACGTCAAACAGAACCATCTTTACTAATTTAATTTGAATTTAATTGAACTTATTTTCTTTTACAACATGAAAACGGGCACAATCTGTTAATCAGTTAATGAATACGTAGAAAACGTGTTGATACAAACATGCGCGAATAATGTAAAGAAATAAGCCAACATGTAATATAAAAAATAGTATAAATAACTTTAGTTTATCACTTCGCTAATCCAGTAACCTAAGCCTATTATGCAATAGGCACCCTTGGACATTCATGATTACACATTTCCAAAGGAATATTAATTTACATGCACGCCATTTGTCAACTCTTTGATACATTTTGCACCAATTGATGTGAGACTATAGTCGTTATTTTACCACCAAAAGCCATTTTCAAACCTTTTCTTTTTGAGGGAAGTCTTTAATAAGTATAGTTTTTTAAATGCTGTTGAAATTCAACCTTTTCATTTGTTTGACCTACAAATGGGACATGTAGAACCTTAAAGAGCATTGCAAGCCTGGAAGTAAGAGTTTGAAGGACTTACCGACGCGGTTTTCCATGCTCCACCTCCACCTCCATGACCTGATCTTTATTGCAAGCAATTATGACATCATCCACGGCCTCATCTGACCCGCATCGTATGAATCTACCAGTATCAAAATAGACGCAATACAGCATTTCTCCTTTCGTGCTCCTCGTGGTTTTTGCAATGACGACCTTCGTCATTGCCTTGTTTTCGTTCACATTCTGCCCCATTAATATTCTCCTTTTCCTCCTTTTCCTTATCCTTATCGTCAGGAAATCGCATTCGTTTTGCACGTAATGTTTGTTATTCCTAGTTAGGTGCTTTCCTCATGTCCTTTTCCTTTCAAATTTCATAGGCATAGTCTGTAACATCCCTTAAAGGTCACTACATTCTTCGATTTTCGAAGTCACTCATGCATAACCGCCCAGGCGCCATTTTGTCCGTTTCTGGTCCATTTTAAGGCCTTTCTTTCTTCCTTCCTATCTCCACTATCCTAGATCCTATAAACTTCTAACAAATTCCTCTAGATAGTCTAAGAGATGTTCTTTAATCTGCGACGCATAACCTGCCCTTCAAAATGCCGTCTTCATACTCAAAATTCAAATCTGAAACCGACTCCGTCAACTATCTCTCAAATTCTTGAAAAATTGACCCCTAAATAATCTAAAACTGCCATAACTTTCTCATATAAATTCCGTTTTGCATTTAAATCTCACAGTATCTTTATCTCATAATTGCATATAGCCATGCCATATTTCACGCTCCAATGGCTTTGCACAACATAAATAGCGCCCTCTAAAGTTCTGGGAATTGGCTTTCTCTCTGTGGCCGTATCTCCATAATGGCTTGGCAAACCCGTACCCTTTTTTGGATTTAGATACTTGGAGATATGCCCTTTCCAGCCATATACAAAATCATATACCCTATCACTGACCAAATTTGAGAAAATTGCCCTCCAAATTCGCCATTTTCAAGAAAATTGAGAAATAACTTCAACTTGCTCTAAACCAGCGATCTTTATACCTACATCAATGAAACTTGGCAGACACATGTATCCATATACGTGACAACTGTCTGTAAAGTTTAGTAAATTGTAATGCCCTCTTCGCCAAGTTATCGCCCAAAATGATGAATTTACTATGCTTTACGTAATAGCGCGTTTGATGCGTGCAGTACGTTTTGCGCAAATGACAATGGTTTCAAACTGACCGCAATGAAGTGCCCTTTCGAATGATACCAAATATAGTATATTTTCACACAGAAAATTGTGAGTAAATCGCATTGAACAAAGGTCACTACACGAATTCCGCCGAGTTTCCGCCCGAATCTAACACGTATCGGCTATGACGTCATTTTTTTCAGACTGCTTTTCGCCCCTTAAATGTCCTTTTTTTTCCTTGAAAATTTGCAGTTGCATGCCGAGTTCCAATACGCAGGGCACCTCTTGGCCGGATTTTTGAAATTGGTCAAGGGGGCCATTCAAGACGCCATTTTGTTCTATAAATCTATTTTACATCACGTGTTTCGATAGGATTATCATAAAAAAAAGAGAGTGGTTTACAATAACAACCATGAAATTCTCTTTCTAATGATACCAAATACGGCCCATAAAGAGACATAAAGAGAGAGAGAAAAAACAATTTAACTCCGGTCATAATACAGATCCTGTACGTTTTCCGGCCATGAATTACACGCATTGTCTATGGGGCATATCGGGTTCATGCTTTTGGCCCCCAGAACGATCTTCATTGCAATGACGAACATGCACCGAATCCCATTGGTTTTTGCACGCAGTGCTTGCGAGCCCTTTCTAGGTTCCTTCCCCTATCCCAATTTCTTTCAAGCTTCGTATAGGCATAGCCACTACCATCTCATCAAGGTCACTGTTGAGGCCTTTCTTTCGCCCTACCTATCTCCAATATCACAGAAGCTACAGACTTCGTACAAATTGCTCTGGATAGTGCGAGAGAAGCTCTTTCGTTTGACACGTCGAAACATGGCGTCATTGCACGCACATCGTTTTGAGACGATTGCATTTCTAGTTCGTATTGTTTTAATTTGATTCTACAAGATGGAAATGCTCATCAACAATTCAAAAGACCAAATCCCCCAATTTACGATTTCTCTCGTGATAGACTATTGTTAAACGACTATTCTCACTCATGGGCGAATGGTATGAAACCAATTGCAAATCATCTGAAAAAGGAATTTATGTTTATTTTGAGATATGAAAGATAAGTACTATTTAATCATTTAATATGAAAATTCTTAATATAAACAGTGTACACTTTTTTCGGAGGGGGGGGGGACTGAGTGTATTATGGATAGGAAAAGGGATTGGAGAGAGAACGAGAGAGAGAAAGAGAGAGAGAGAAAGAGAGAGGGAGAGAGAGAGAACGAGAGAGAGAGAGAGAGAAGGGGGGGGGGGTAAAAGAAATGAAACATATCAAAGTACTCTTTTAACAAATGATATTGTCTCACCTGATAATCTTCAGATGTTTGAGGTTGTGTGGTGAACTGAAAGCTTGTACAATCAGTTCCATCTTACTGTTGCCAATGCCAAGATCCCTGAATGTCACCTTGACAAGCTGAGGGGAGATATTCAGAAGGGCATTGGGTATTGAAGTGGGCTCCTCGTGGAAACCAGCCGGTCGACGACCATACTCATGTGTTTGAATGGTGAGTTCTGTTGCTCCTGGTAGATGGATCCTCTGGATGACGTCACAGTTGATCGTTCTCTCTGCCTCTATAGTGACCCTTTTCACACTATCAAACATCGAACCACAATCCTGCCATACTTCTAGTGTGCTAGTATCCACTGTCAGCTCAGTCAGGTTGGGGCTCGTGGTACAACTCTGGTCGTGATCATGTACATACAAAAAAGGCAATCAAAGTGCACTAGCAAATGTAGTAGGTTCGATTGTTGGTAAATATATAATGTTTCATGAAAAAAGCAACACAAATTGTGAAAATGGATTATGCTAGCCTCATGGGTATTGTAGAATATAAACAAGGATTTGTAAAAGACATAGGCCGAGCAAATGCGAGAAATCTTTTGCAAAGGCAAGTACAAGTATAAGCATGATAATCAAAGTCTTCAAAACAAATCTGTTTGGCTTTCATGCAATACAATTGTACATGTATATCATTCATTATTTCCTAATAGAGGTATGTTAAAGGTAAGTACAGTTTAAAGATTCAATGAAACGGAAACCAGCCTAATTCAGCCATACGTTAGGATAAACATTAACTAAATAATTTCAAATCAGTCAAATGCAAGTATTCCGTACATCGTATATACAATAATCAAATAAAATGTAACTAGAACACATGTATCAGAATTTGAAATAGTAATATTGAAAAGGATTTTTTTTAAATTAAAAAATAAAAATGTATATCGCGATTAGAACATTTAAACCTTTATCGCTGTATATAGCGTTAATTAATCACATTACTTGAAGTGTGATGCACAGTGGGCCGTTTAAGAATGTCCAATGTCAAATTTTACTGCAGGATTAACAGATATTTAATATGAAACATGTCTACAAGTACAAATATACCACCATATAATTGAGCGTTTGAAGTAATGTTTCGTCCCAACAGATTCTTATTTGTAGGTGTTATAATGCATAGGCATATCGTGAGAAAGGCGGGCGAAGTAACCGTGTCCCCTATTGAAGAAAAATATAGGCGAAACAAGACATTGTATGGGTATAAAACCTTTTTTTTGCTCCTTGCCATTATGGTCATGTCGAAATGATGATGCATGTTTTACATGATTTGTATGAAATAACAATTCATTTAAACACCCAAATGCATTATAACACCTGAGAATAAGAATATAGTTATATATATTAACGCAATTTGTACTGCCCTTTCTTTCAACAATGATATAGATACATGTTATTCCTTTCCTTTTTCAAGTGTCACATTTGTTTTTTGTTATGGTTTTTTTTTTATTAGAATCCCTTTGGAAAACATTTCGCTTTAGTTGAATGTTCCACTACGTTAACATCCGTAAATGACTAAACGATTGAAAATTGTAATGAATATCAATAAACAGATAAAGCTAACAAATAAAGATGATTATTTGTAGGGCTTGGTAATGCAGTGGCAAATCAGATGGTGACAATCAACAACAACAAAAGGGGGAGGGGGTCATTACATTTCTCAGATGCCCTCGTATTCTTTAAAGCCTCTCTTCATAATGAATTATGTATTATACTTGTTCTGTTTTTTTCCTTCTTAATCGTTTGATTGAAATGTCGTAGTTTTACAATGTTTTTAATTTCCCATTGACTCTTTTTTTTTTACACATTGTTTGAATTGAGGTTGGAATATGGAAATAAATGATTTAAATTGAATTGAAAGTGTTGGGAGCCACAAATTCGACAAAAATGTGATGGCAAAATTTCACTTAAATCATATCATAATGTGAAAAAGGACTTCTGCAAAGATCCCCCCCCCCCCAACAAAAAAAGAAAAATGTATTTGAAGATAAAAATGATAAAATAATAACATAATTGGGGTTTTCTGTTGTGCTGTTGTATTCTTTTATCAATATTTATGACATCCTCTTTTACATTATGATACAATTTAAGTGAAATCTTTCCATCAAATTGTTGGGGCCCAACAATTCAGAGGGGCTTCAATTATCTGACCAGCAACCAAAAGTACGTCTTTCCTTCGTAATTTCATAGGTCTATTTACTTTGAGTTTATTTCTTTGTAAGCGCTATGGAGTTTTGTATTTATCTTTTCTAAATATTCGATACATAGTAAGAAGAGAAAAAGCAAAGGTTTATGACATTTAAGTGCCGTTGTGGGTGGGGAGGGGGGGGGGGGGGGTAAATTGCATAATTAAGGACCCATTCTTATTTTGTATAATTATGCCAGATAGTGTTTTTCCGAAGGAGGGGGGGGGGGGGGGAGGGGGGCGTTTGTCCCTATTCTCGATCCACCATTATTCACCCCGTGGAGTGATCACGTGGGGCCAGAGGATATCATTGCTGACACACAGCGCCTTGTAAACCCTGGAAAAGGAGCTGTTTGAATTCGATTATTATTATTATTACTATTATTATTATTATTAATATTTTAATTATTATCAATTATCCTCTGAGAAACACTTCTCCAATGAAAAGGGTCTCAATCTGTCGTGCAAACTTATTACAGGCTCTTGGTGTATATTTTTATATGGATTATCACCAGTTTAACCTGGCTGCATTGATACAATGTTATGCGTAATGTTGACATTTCAACAGCCCCTCCTAGATATAGTTTTGAAAGAACTAATTAAAGTGATCAATTCTTGTTCATCATAGAAGCCGCCCATTGCCATTTTTTAATATATTTGGATGAAGTATAGCTGTGAAAAATATTGTTTTTACTATCAATCTTTAATATTACGTTTGTCTGTTTTTGTATTTGACAGAAAGTTTACTTTTCGCATCAACTTCCCGAAACTTTCAGCTTTTCCTACCTGCTTCCTCTTAACGGTGTATACTTTGAACAGTAAAATCGTACAATTTCGTTTGACGATATAGGAAAGAGTGCACCTCTAGTAAAACAAAACATGTATTGATTTGCTAAGAGTCCCCAAAAATGTGATCAAATCAATACCTTTGCAGATGATGCCATCGATGACGATGTTGAGTAGAAGTCATCGTGAAACTGACTGCCGAGTGACAGCTTCTCCAGATGAGTCATCTTACAGACGAACTGAGCGAGATCACGTGATGCAGAGGGACGTTCATTGAGACTCAAATAGTTGAGCTCAAGAGTCTCAATCTGTTTTGATAGCAACATTTTGTTGAATGAATGTTAATAAAAACCAAATAAAACTATATTAAAAAATCAACAGTATGTTTGATATATATTAATATCGTTGCCACATTAAAAAAAAAAGTCTTAACACAATGGCATTTATTGTGTTTAATGATGTTTAAATCTTGACATCTGAAATGATTACTGATTGCAATAGTTCCTGAATTCCTTTGCGACCGATATACATTGCATCATGTTACAGTAGCCTTCCTCATTCATTTGAACAAGCTCTACGTTATTCTGACATTTGATTTAAATAGCACTTTTAAAAATGAATTTTACATAATAAAATAAAATAAAATATATATGGAACACTTTTCAGTTTCCAAAGGATTACAGAAATAATACAAAACGGGAACGAAGAGATTCGATTTTTCATTTTGTAGGTTTTTAAATTAAACTATTTAGTCTCATCAGTATTCACAATTGAAAAAGCTGTCTTTCCATCAGTAATTCCGTAGCACTTCGAATCGTCATATGAAATTTAAAGAATGGTAAATATTATTCACTATCAATCATATAATCTTCACTCTGTTTTTGTATTATGACAGAAAGTTCACTTTTAACACCCACTTACTGAAGCGATCAACTTTTCCTACCTGATTCTTCTTAACGGTGTTCCAATAGGGAGAGAAAATTGTACACTTGCGTTTGACTATAAAGGAAAGAGTGCACCAACAGTATAAGCAAAACATGTACTGATTTGCTAAGAGTCCAACAAAATATGATCAAATCAATACCTTTGCGGATAATGCCATCGATGACGATGTTGAGTAGAAGTCATCGTGATACAGACCGCCGAGTATCAGGTCCTTCAGATGAGTCATCTTACAGATGAACTGAGCAAGATCACGTGATGAAGAGGGACGTTTCCATAGATCAGCAGAGTAGATCCAAAGAGTCTCAATCTGTTATGATAGCAACATTATGTTGAATGAATACTAATAACAACCAAATATCTCTATATTCCAGAATCAACAATTCATTAAAAATTATATTAACATCGTTGCCGTATAGTAACATTGTGTTAGATAAACTCCTAACACAATATGATTTATTTTGTGTATGATAGACAAATCTTGACATCTGAAATTAGTACCACTTTCAATAGTTCTTGGCTCCTTTTGAGACCGATTCAATGGTGTTTATTCCTACATGTAACTGATAGATAATGACAGAGATGATTAGTTTGTTTTTGATTAATCCCATCGAGACTGTAGGCATTGCGGATAAAGTAAATAATAATATTTTCTAGATCATGTTGATCTGTTGACTGAGGGAGTAGTGGGTAAATATGAATGAAGGACTTGGCTCCTGATCTAAATTCTAACGGAACAAAAGAGAAGAAGTCAACGCAAAGCATAGCATCCCCTCGCCGGGTACAATTTCCTTAATTGAGCAATTTTTGCATATTTAATGGTCTGTGACCTTTGAGCTTTGACGTGTTTACTCAACAACATTACTTACGTTATTGGATTAAAAAAAAATTTTTTCGCGTATATCTAAGTAGGCATTTTCGCATATTTAATGAGCTATGACCTTTGTCCTTTGACCTACATACTCAGAAATTAAACATAGGCTGTATTTTGATACCATGTGCCTTCATATCAAATTTCATTAAAATCCGCTAATTATTATTAAAATTATCAAACGGAAACCAGATTTTTTTACGGAAGGACAGAAGAAATGACGTGCGGCAGCTTTACTACATGTATATCGCCTCCGACTTCGTCGACGAAGGGTTTAATAAAACAAGAAGGCATAACGGTCACAAACCAGTCCTCAACTACACTACTCTACATGGAAAATGTGTGCTTTTAATCGGGGGAAAATCAGGACATGCTGATAATGTTATCGACTACATCATAGTGATGGATCAATGATTGTAAGAGAAGAGGGGATTTTTCATCTCGCGGTCATGATTATTATGATCCGGTAATTTTACTGATCCTACTACATGTAAACGTCGGAATGAATGAGGGGTGGCGGAGGAGGAGGGGGGGGGGGGGGTGAACGATCCACATACTGGATGTCAAGTCTTAATCTGTTATAATAGTTACATTGTATTGGATAAACAATTGCTGACATAACACTACTTAAAAATAATTGTAACATTACATCATTCTTGAGTTGCCATCCTCATTATTTCACAAAAGCTATACGTTAATCAGAAATTAGATTTAGTAAAAAAAATGTTGAAAAAAATAATTGTACATAACAGAAAAGTGTGAAATAAAATGTAGATTGAAAACTTTGCAGTTTCCAAAGGGTTTCAGATATAATTCAAACAGGGACAAAGAGATTCGATTTTTCATTTGTTAAGGTTTTTGAATTTAAATATTTAGTCTCATTAGCATTCGCAGTTGAAATAGTTGTCTCGCCATCAGCAATTCCATAGCACCCCGAATAGTCATATGAATTTTAAAATATGGTTTATATATTCACTATTGATCTTAAAATCTTCCCTCTGATTTTGTATTACGACAGAAATTCACTTTTCGCATCCACTTCCTGAAATGATCAACTTTTCGGACCTGCTCTTAACGGTGTAACAAATAGGGAGAGTAAAATTGTACACTTGCTTTTGACTAAAAGGAAAGAGTACAACTCTAGTATATCCAAAACATGAAGTGATTTGTTGAGAGCCCTGAAATATACGATCAAATCAATACCTTTACAGATGATGCCATCGATAACGATGTTGAGTAGAAGTCATCGTGATACTGAGCGCCGAGTGTCAGGTCCTTCAGATGAGTCATCTTACAGATGAACTGAGCCAGATCACGCGATGAAGAGGGACGTTTATTGAGATCTTTAGAGTAAATCCAAAGAGTCTCAATCTGTTATGATAGCAACATTATGTTGAATGAATACTAATAACAACCAAATAGCTCTATATTCCAGAATCAACAATTCATTAAAAATTATATTAACATCGTTGCCGTATAGTAACATTGTGTTAGATAAACTCCTAACACAATATCATTTATTTTGTGTATGATAGACAAATTTTGACACCTTAAATTAGTACCACTTTCAATAGTTCATGGCTTCTTTTGAGACCGATTCAATGGTGTTTATTCCTACATGTAACTGATAGATAATGACAGAGATGATTAGTTTGTTTTTGATTAATCCCATCGAGACTGTAGGCATTGCGGATAAAGTAAATTATAATATTTTCTAGATCATGTTGATCTGTTGACTGAGGGAGTAGTGGGTAAATATGAATGAAGGACTTAGCTCCTGATCTAAATTCTAACGGAACAAAAGAGAAGAAGTCAACGCAAAGCGTAGCATCCCCTCGCCGGGTACAATTTCCTTAATTGAGCAATTTTTGCATATTTAATGGTCTGTGACCTTTGAGCTTTAACGTGTTTACTCAACAACATTACTTACGTTATTGGATAAAAAAAAAAAAAATTCGCGTATATCTAAGTAGACAATTTCGCATATTTAATGAGCTATGACCTTTGTCCTTTGACCTACATACTCCGAAATTAAACATAGGCTGTATTTTGATACCATGTGCCTTCATATCAAATTTCATTAAAATCCGCTAATTATTATTAAAATTATCAAATGGAAACCATATTTTTTTTACGGAAGGACAGAAGGAAGGACGTACGGCAGCTTTACTACATGTATATCGCCTCCGACTTCGTCTACGAGGGGTTTAATAAAACAAGAAGGCATAACGGTCACAAACTATTGCTCAACTGCACTACTCTACATGGAAAATGTGTGCTTTTAATCGGGGGGAAATCAGGACATGCTGATAATGTTATCGACTACATCATAGTGATGGATCAATGATTGTAAGAGAAGAGAGGATTTTTCATCTCGCGGTCATGATTATTATGATCCGGTAATTTTACTGATCCTACTACATGTAAACGTCGGAATGAATGAGGGGTAGCGGAGGAGGGGGGGGGGGGTGGACGATCCACATATTGGATGTCAAGTCTTAATCTGTTATAATTGCTGACATAACACTACTTAAAAATAATTGTAAACATTACATCATTCTTGAGTTGCCATCCTCATCATTTTACAAAAGATTTAGGTTAATCAGAAATTAGATTTAGTAAAAAATGTTGAATTTTTTTTTTGTACATAACAGAAAAGTGTGAAATAAAATGTAGATAGAAAACTTTGCAGTTTCCAAAGGGTTTCAGATATAATTCAAACGGGGACAAAGAGATTTGATTTTTCATTTGTTTAGGTTTTTGAATTTAAATATTTAGTCTCATCAGCATTCGCAGTTGAAATGGCTGTCTCTCTATCAGCAATTCCATAGCACCCCGAATAGTCATATGAAATTTAAAATATGGTTTATATATTCACTATTGATCTTAAAATCTTCCCTCTGATTTTGTATTACGACAGAAATTCACTTTTCGCATCCACTTCCTGAAACGATCAACTTTTCGGACCTACTCTTAACGGTGTAACAAATAGGGAGAGTAAAATTGTACACTTGCATTTGACTATAAAGGAAAGAGTACAACTCTAGTATATCCAAAACATGAAGTGATTTGTTGAGAGCCCTGAAAAATACGATCAAATCAATACCTTTACAGATGATGCCATCGATGACGATGTTGAGTAGAAGTCATCGTGATACTGACCGTCGAGTGTCAGGTCCTTCAGATGAGTCATCTTACAGATGAACTGAGCGAGATCACGTGATGCAGATGGTTGTTTAATGAGATCATCAGAGTTGATGTAAAGAGTCTCAATCTGTTATGATAGCAACATTATGTTGAATGAATACTAATAATAACCAGTTAACTTTACTCAAGAATCATTGTTTTTAAATTGTATTAATATCGCTGCCACAATGAAAAACTCTTAACACAATAACATTTATTTTTGCTTAAGATGTACATGTCTTGACACCTGAAATTAAAACAAATTTCAATAGTTCATGGCTTCTTTTGAGACCGATTCAATGGTGTTTTTTCATAACTGATAGATAATGACAGAGGTGATTAGTTTGTTTTTGATTGATCCAATCGTGACTGTAGGCATTGCGGATAAAGAAAATGATAATATTTCCTAGATCATGTTGACCTGTTGACTGAGGGAGTAGTGGGTAAATATGAATGAAGGACTTGGCTCACGATCTAAAGTCTTACAGAACAAAAGAGAAGAAGTCAACGCAAAGAGTAGCATCCCCTCGCTGGGTACAATTTCCTCAATTGAGCATTTTTTGCATATTTAATGGGCTGTGACCTTTGAGCTTTGACGCATGTACTCAATAACATTACTTACGTTATAGGATTTTTTTTTAATTTCGCATATTTACCTAGGCATTTTCTCATATTTAACGAGCTATGTCCTTTGACCTACATACTCAGAAATCAAACTTAGGCTATATTTGAATACGATGTGCCTTCATATCAAATTTCATTAAAATCCCTTAAACATTACTAAAGTTATCAAAATGAAACCAGATTTTGTACGGAAGGACAGAAGGAAGGACGTGCGGCAGCTTTACTACATGTATATCGCCTTCGACTTCGTCGACGAGGGGTTTAATAAAACAAGAAGGCATAACGGTCACAAACCAGTGCTCAACTACACTACTCTACATGGAAAACGTGTGCTTTTAATCGGGGAAGAACCAGAACACCCTTATTATGTTATCGACAACATTATATGGTGGATCCATGGTTGTAAGAGCAGCCGCGAAGCCACTAGGGGGGGGGGGGGGAGGGGCACGGGGGGGGGGGGCACATGCCCCTCCTAAAATTTCCAGGATCGGTTGAAATTTTGTAGACCCCTTTTTTGACCTCGATCGATTACATGTATGTGCCCCCGAAACATCAAACTTTGGCTACGTGCCTGTGTAAGAGAAGAGGGGATTTCATCCCCCGGTCATATGATCCGGTAATTTGACTGACCCTACTACATTTAAACGTTGGCATGATGAGGGGTGGTGGGGGGGGGGGGGGGGAGCGATCCATATACCGGATGTCTTAATCTGTTATAATAGTTACATTATATTGGATAAACAATTATTGCTGACATAACACTACTTAAAAATAATTTTAAACATTACATCTTGCTTCAGTTGCCATCCTCATTATTTTACAAAAGCTATACGTTATTCTGAAATTTGATTTAGTAAAACATATTGGAAAAATATTTGTACATAACAGGAAAGTGTGAAATACAATGTACATGGAAAACTTTGCAAGTTTCCAAAGGGTTTCAGATATACTTCGAACGGGGACAAAGAGATTTGATTTTTCATTTGTTTAGGTTTTTAAATTTAAATATTTAGTCTCATCAGCATTCGCAGTTGAAATAGTTGTCTCTCCATCAGCAATTCCATAGCACCCCGAATAGTCATATGAAATTCAAAATATGGTTTATATTGTTCACTATTGATCTTATAATCTTCCCTCTGAATTAGTATTATGACAGAAATTCACTTTTCGCATCCACTTCCTGGAACGATAAAATGTTTTCATACCTGCTTACTCTTAAGGGTGTACCTATATACAGTGTGAGTCAAAAAACAGTTTACACCTAGAAAATTGCTAATTATTTTAAAAAATAATCTGTAAAAAGTAGATTATTATACATCTAATGAAAGAATGTTTTATCCCAAATCATTTGGTATCATTTTTGTGTGGTATGTGTTTATTGCGAGAGTGCAAAATTCAACTTGCGCCAAAGTTCCTTATTTGATGTTTGAATAAAACAATTGGGATTTGGGTATTAATTCGGTCTTTGCAGATCCAAATAACATCCCTAAGAAAATTAATCATAACACACATATCAAATATCAACGAACATTTGTGTGCGTGTGTGTGTGTGTGTGTGTGTGACTTTGCTCCTGCAAAAAGCATATGCAATGCATTTAATTTGATACATTCAATTCATTCTCTCACTCCTCTAAAATCCTAACGTAATACATGCCGTAGGCATCACTTTGGCGCAAGTCAATTTTTGCACTCTCGCAAACAATGCCTCCTGTTCATCCAAGCGTGAACACATACCACACAAAAATGATACCAAATGATTTAGGATTAAACATTCTTTCATGAGAGGTATAATAATTTCCTGTTCATAGATGATTTTTTTAAATAATTAGTCATTTTCAAGGTGTAAACTTTTTTTTGACTCACACGGTATAGGGAGAGTAAAGTTGTACTCTGGCGTATGACTATATAGGAAAGAGTACACTTCCAGTATAACAAAAACATGTAATGATTTGCTATGAGTCCAACAAAATATGATCACAACAATACCTTTGCAGATGATACCATCGATGACGCTGTTGAGTAGAAGTCATCGTGACACTGACCGCAGAGTGTCAGGTCCTTCAGATGAGTCATCTTACATATGAACTGAGCGAGATCACGTGATGCAGAGGGACGTTCATTGATATCAACAGGGTAGATCGCAAGAGTCTCAATCTGTTATGAAAGCAACATTATGTTGAATGAATACTAATAACAACCAAATAAACTATATTCAAGAATCAACAACTTGTTTTAAATTGTAATAATATCGTTGCCACAATGAAAAACTCTCATCACAATCACATTTATTATGTTTAAGATGTACAAGTCTTGACACCTAAAATTAAAACTAATTTCAATAGTTCATGGCTTCTTTGAGACCGATTCAATGGCGTTAAGTCATAAATGATAGATAATGACAGAGGTGATTAGGTTTTTTTGATTGATCCAATCGTGACCGTAGGCATTGCGGATAAAGAAAATGATAATATTTCCTAGATCATGTTGACCAGTTGACTGAGGGAGAAGTAGGGAAATATAAATGGAGGACTTGGCTCACGATCTAAAGTCTTACAGATCAAAAGAGAAGAATCAACGCAAAGCGTAGCATCCACTCACAGGGTACAATTTCCTCAATTGAGCATTTTTTGCATATTTAATGGGCTTTGACCTTTGAGCTTTGGCGCATGTACTCAATTACATTGCTTACGTTATTGGATTTTTTTTTAATCGTGTATATTTACCTAGGCATTTTCTCATGTTTAACGAGCTATGACCTTTGTCCTTTGACCTACATACTCAGAAATCGAATTTAGGCTATATTTGAATACGATGTGCCTTCATATCAAATTTCATTAAAATCCCTTAAACATTACTAAAGTTATTTAAAATGAAACCAGATTTTTTACGAAAGGACAGAAGGAAGGACGTGCGGCAGCTTTACTACATGTATATCGCCTCCGACCTCGTCGACGAGGGGTTTAATAAAACAAGAAGGCATAACGGTCACAAACCAGTGCTCAACCGTATCAGGACAACTACCCCCTGGGCAATCACCCCCCGGAAAATTACCCCCCGGAAAACTACCCCCCCAAGGACAATTACCCCCCAGAAAATTACCCCCCGGAGAATAACCCCCCGAGGACAATTACCCCCCAAGGACAATTACCCCCCGGAAAATTACCCCCCGGAGAATTACCCCCCGAGGACAATTACCCCCCGAGGACAATTACCCCCCCCCCCCGAGGACAACTACCCCCGAGGACAATTACCCCCCGAGGACAATTACCCCCCGAGGACACTTACCCCCCGAGGACAATTACCCCCGAGGACAACTACCCCGGAGGACAATTACCCCCCGAGGACAACTACCCCCCCAATGACAATCACCCCCGAGGAATTTGAAATATTGTGACGTACAATGCGAGATTCTCTCCGTATTGCTATTTACCGAAAATTGTATAAACTTTTGATTTTCTTAGTTATTTATGAAGTTCATTTTAGTCTTTTTAAATTATTCAATACGATGTGGGGGGTGGAGGTTATCCAATTCCCCCGTAGTTTTGCCACCGAGTAAAGAACAGAAATTACATTTCTTAGAAATTTAACAATACATTGCGCGCAGATGAGTACGCGTTACAGCAACAATGGCACAACAATTAAATTAGGATGTAAGATTTCATTTATGCATCCTCTGTAACGTTTATAATCAGCTGATCGTGTATTTGTCTTTGTATGTATGGGCCAGGGGCGGCGATCCCGGGGGACGACACGTCGCCCCTCAATTTTTTTTAGGGGGGTCGTCCCCCCCCCCCTGATAATTTGAAAAAGTGCACAAAAATAAGTGTATACCAAATACTGACTAAAGACTGCAACAAACTTTTAGGCTCAAGAGGGCCCACGAGTGCAGCGTTTAGACAACAAAAAGTGCAAAAATCTTCTCGCTCGGGATCTATGCTCCTCGCACAATATTCTTCATATGTACGAGTAAATATTGTAGAAAAGTGAAGTGTGAAAAAGGTATAATGTTTGTTTTTATACTATTGTTTTGCTAAGGAATGTAATTTGTTAATACAACAAAACTTCAAAAACCTGTCACTTCCGTCACCTTCTTCCCTCTCATTCACTCTGCTCCCTCGCACTGGCGTAATGATTAGGGGAGGGGGAGGCTTGTTGCCCTCTAATAAAATTCAAACTTGGTTTATTTCTAATTCGATACCAGAGATTTACAAATGTTGCTGAAATGGCATGGTTTTTCCCTCAGCTTCCACGGGGCTCTGCCCCCTAGACCCCACCAAGGGCCCTAAGGCGGGCTCCTGGTTGCTCATCTGACCGTTATTAAATGCCTAAAACCCCTGAGCTTCATGGGGCTACGCCCCTGGACCCCACGTCAATTTACGCTCCACTTGCTTCGCTCGCTTTGTTCTTCCTGATCGAAAATACTTTAGCGCCCCCCACCCACTTTGAAAAACGTTCCGCGGGGCCTGCATGTACCATGTAGGAGTGGGGGGTGCGGATTTTGTTGTCAGCCCCCCCCCCAAGAAGTTTTTACTCATTACGCCACTGCTCCCCTCCCCCGGTCATGAAAAGAAATCGCCGCCCCTGGTATGGGCCCTTATCCATGATCCAAAATGAAGGTTTTCTTCACGTTATCTATATATTTATGTTGTCATGCTGAAGTATAATATGTTTTCTTGTACGGTAAATTATTTTGAAATAGAAATTGCCTTCAAGTTATATGTACGGTGCCATGGGAAAAGAAAAGAAATATTCGCTTTCTGGTAATTCATCTCATTTGATTTTGTAACTCCAGCGCAGCGTTTTTCAACCGGGGTGCCGCAAGAGAATGTTAGTTACATTGGGAAAACGTTGATTTTGTGAAAAACAAATATCAGAAACAGTTAGAGTACGTAATTACCTAAGAAAATAAAGTTTTAAAGATAACAAAGTGTATTTCTTCCTTGCTCGCTGACAATATTTTGACAGCAAGGCGCATGAATATATATTATATCTTTTATTTCGAGATTACGTTGTTACCACACTCATTACATTAAAAACATGATAAATAAGGGCAACGAGAGGCCCGAATATCCTCATATTCGTACATCAAGGTCATGACCGAATACATCACTTTGTATTAATGTACATTCGGCGGCAAGGTACCTGCATACAGTACTTTAAATCGCTTATGATGTGTTGATTACAAACTAATTTTACCAGTTTGAAAATGTCTTCTCCTTTTTTATTCTTAAATGTGCCCATACGTGTGTACATAGCACTTGACGAGTGCCAGAGTCATACAAAATAAGTAGTCTGTGAAGACTTTGGGATTTGGGAGAAACTTTAATTTCTAAAGAGGGTACCTACTTGTACCGTGACTAACAACAAGCTGAAATAACGCTGCTCCAGAGAAATGTATTTCTATGCATTTTGAGAAGCGCTGGACGATTACCCCCCCCCCCCCCCAACGAAACGAAATATCGATCGGCCGAATTTTCAAATTTTGAGACCCTAAAAAAAAAATATATGTCCTCTTACCCCTGGTAAGAGGTCCTGGGTGGTCCTAGGGGGTAGTTTTCTATGGGGGGGGGGGGGTATTCTCCGGGGGGTAAATGTCCTCGGGGGGAATTGTCCTGGGGGTTAGTTTTCCACGGGGGGGGGGGGGGTAATTCTCCGGGGGGTAATTGTCCTCGGGGGTAATTTTCCGGGGGGTAATTGTCCTCGGGGGGTAGTTGTCCTCGGGGGTAATTGTCCTTGGGGGGTAATTGTCCTCGGGGGGTAATTGTCCTCGGGGGGTAATTGTCCTCGGGGGTAGTTGTCCTTGGGGGGTAATTTTTCTGGGGGGTAATTTTCCGGGGGGTAATTGTCCTTGGGGGGTAGTTGTCCTTGGGGGGTAATTCTCCGGGGGGAAATTTTCTGGGGGGTAATTGTCCTTGGGGGGTAGTTTTCCGGGGGGTAATTTTCCGGGGGGTGATTGCCCAGGGGGTAATTGTCCTAGAACCGTTACATTATATTGGATAACAATTATTGCTGACATAACACTACTTAAAAATAATTTTAAACATTACATCATGCTTCAGTTGCCATCCTGATTATTTTACAAAAGCTATACGTTATTCTGAAATTTGATTTAGTAAAACATATTGGAAAAATATTTGTACATAACAGAAAATTGTGAAATAAAATGTACATGGAAAACTTTGCAAGTTTCCAAAAGTTTCAGATATAATTCGAACGGGGACAAAGAGATTTGATTTTTCATTTGTTTAGGTTTTTAAATTTAAATATTTAGTCTCATCAGCATTCGCAGTTGAAATAGTTGTCTCTCCATCAGCAATTCCATAGCACCCCGAATAGTCATATGAAATTCAAAATATGGTTTATATTGTTCACTATTGATCTTATAATCTTCCCTCTGAATTAGTATTATGACATAAATTCACTTTTCGCATCCACTTCCTGAAACGATAAAATGTTTTCATACCTGCTTACTCTTAACGGTGTTCCTATATACAGTGTGAGTCAAAAAACAGTTTACACCTAGAAAATTGCTAATTATTAGAAAAAATCATCTGTAAACAGTAAATTATTATACATCTTATGAAAGAGTGTTTTATCCCAAATTATTTGGTATCATTTTTGTGTGGTATGTGTTTACGCTTGGATTAACAGGAAGCATTGATTGCGAGAGTGCAAAATTCGACTTGCGCCAAAGTTCCTCATTTGATATTTGAATAAAATAATTGGGATTTGGGTATTAATTCGGTCTTTGCAGATCCAAATAACATCCCTAAGAAAATTAATCATGCCACACATATCAAATATCAACGAACATTTGTGTGCGTGTGTGTGTGTGTGTGTGTGTGTGACTTTGCTCCTGCAAAAAGCATATGCAATGCATTTAATTTGATACATTCAATTCATTCTCTCACTCCGCTAAAATCCTAACGTAATACATACCGTAGGCATCACTTTGGCGCAAGTCAATTTTTGCACTCTCGCAAACAATGCCTCCTGTTCATCCAAGCGTGAACACATTCCACACAAAAATGATACTAAATGATTTAGGATTAAACATTCTTTCATGAGAGGTATAATAATTTCCTGTTCATAGATGTTTTTTTTAAATAATTAGCCATTTTCAAGGTGTAGTTTTATTTTTGACTCACACGGTATAGGGAGAGTAAAATTGTACTCTGGCGTATGACTATATAGGAAAGAGTACACTTCCAGTATAACAAAAACATGTAATGATTTGCTATGAGTCCAACAAAATATGATCACAACAATACCTTTGCGGATGATACCATCGATGACGCTGTTGAGTAGAAGTCATCGTGACACTGACCGCAGAGTGTCAGGTCCTTCAGATGAGTCATCTTACATATGAACTGAGCGAGATCACGTGATGCAGAGGGACGTTCATTGAGATCAGCAGGGTTGATCTCAAGAGTCTCAATCTGTTATGAAAGCAACATTATGTTGAATGAATACTAATAACAACCAAATAAACTATATTCAAGAATCAACAACTTGTTTTAAATTGTAATAATATCGTTGCCACAATGAAAAACTCTCATCACAATCACATTTATTATGTTTAAGATGTACAAGTCTTGACACCTGAAATTAAAACTAATTTCAATAGGTCATGGCTTCTTTGAGACCGATTCAATGGCGTTAAGTCATAAATGATAGATAATGACAGAGGTGATTAGGTTTTTTTGATTGATCCAATCGTGACTGTAGGCATTGCGGATAAAGAAAATTATAATATTTCCTAGATCATGTTGACCTGTTGACTGAGGGAGAAGTAGGGAAATATAAATAGAGGACTTGGCTCACGATCTAAAGTCTTACAGAACAAAAGAGAAGAAGTCAACGCAAAGCGTAGCATCCACTCGCAGGGTACAATTTCCTTAATATTGAGAATTTTTGCATATTTTATGGGCTGTGACTTTTGAGTTTTGACGTATGTACTCAACAACAATGTTTACGTTATTGGATTTATAAAGAAAAAACATTCTCGCGTATATTTAAGCAGGCATTTTCTCATATTTCATGAGCTATGACCTTTGTCCTTTGACCTACATATTCCGAAATCAAACATAGGCTATATTTTAATACCATATGCCTTCATATCAAATTTCATTAAAATCCGTTAAACATTACTAAAGTTATTAACCGGAAACCAGTTTTTTTACGGAAGGACAGAAGGAAGGACGTACGGCAGCTTTACTACATGTATATCGCCTCCGACTTCGTCTACGAGGGGTTTAATAAAACAAGAAGGCATAACGGTCACAAACCAGTCCTCAACCATACTTCTCTACATGGAAAACGAGTGCTTTTAATCGAGGGTAAACCAGAACACCCTGATTATGTTATCGACAACATTATGTGGTGGATCCATTTTTTTTAAAGTTTTTAAATTTTAATATTTAGTCTCATCAGCATTCGAAGTTGAAATAGTTGTCTCTCTACATCAATTCCATAGCACCCCGAATAGTCATATGAAATTTCAAATATGGTTTATATTATTCACTATTGATCTTAAAATCTTCCCTCTGATTTTGTATTATGACAGAAATTCACTTTTCGCATTCACTTCCTGAAACGATGAATTTTTCCTACTTGCTTACTCTTAACGGTGTACCAATAGGGAGAGTAAAATTGTACTCTTGCGTTTGACTATACAGGAAAGAGTACACCTCCAGTATAACAAAAACATGTAGTGATTTGCTATGAGTCCAACAAAATACGATCAAATCAATACCTTTGCAGATGATGCCATCGATGACGATGTTGAATAGAAGTCATCGTGATACTGATCTACAAGTATAAGGTCCTTCAGATGAGTCATCTTACAGATGAACTGAGCAAGATCACGTGATGCAGAGGGACGTTCACTGAGATCATCAGAGTCGATGTAAAGAGTCTCAATCTGTTATGATAGCAACATTATGTTGAATGAATACTAATAATAACCAATAAACTATACTCAAGAATCAACAATTTGTTTTAAATTCTATTAATATCGCTGCCACAATGAAAAACTCTTAACACAATAACATTTATTATGTTTAAGATGTACAAGCCTTGACACCTGAAATTAAAACTAATTTCAATAGTTCATGGCTTCTTTTGAGACCGATTCAATGGTGTTTTTTCATAAATGATAGCTAATGACAGAGGTGATTAGGTTTTTTTGATTGATCCAATCGTGACTGTAGGCATTGCGGATAAAGAAAATGATAATATTTCCTAGATCATGTTGACCTGTTGACTGAGGGAGTAGTGGAGAATATGATTGAAGGACTTGGCTCATGATCTAAAGTCTTACAGAACAAAAGAGAATTACTCAAGAAGGCAGAGCGGTCACAAACCAGTCCTCAACCACACTACTTCTCAAGGAAAACGTGTGCATTTAATCGGGGAAAATCAGAACACCCTGATTATGTTATTGACTACATTAAAGTGATGGATCCATGATTGTAAGAGAAGAGGGGATTTCATCCCGCGGTCATAGGTTCCAGTAATTTTACTGACCCTACTACATTTAAATGTCGGATGAGTTAGGGCTGGTGGATGGGAAGGGGGGGCGATCCATATTCGTTGACAATAAGCCGTAGACGAAAGACCTCATGCATGGCTGATTGCGAACGAAACGGCATGTTGCTATGGCAGGCACCCGGTAAAAACGAATTCGTTTAATAAAATTATGGAAATGCAAGCACTATTTTAAACAAACAGAACTTGGTCATTCCTTGCTCATTTCTTCTGATTGAGGTGTCATATGAAAGGGCAGGACCTCAACTTTCTAGAAATGTGATTTTCTCTTTGAAATTCAAATACCGTCCGCCAAATGACTTTTTGGTTTCCTCTCTTCAAATTCATTCCAATCACTCATGCCTGAAATATGCATCATTTGAACTGCAGCAAATGAAAAAAGGAGGATCTAAGCTTTCAAAATATGTGTCATTTAGTAATTATAAATGTGACTACGTTATGATAAAAAAACGATAATTCTCGGTTTCGTTTTTTCTGGGACGCACTGTATAGGAAATAGTACACCTCCAGTATAACAAAAACATGTAGTGATTTGCTATGAGTCCAAAACATAAGATCTAATCGATACCTTTGCAGAAGATGCCATTGATGACGATGTTGAGTAGAAGTCATCGTGACACTGACCGCGGAGTGTCAGGTCCTTCAGATGAATCATCTTACAGATGAACTGAGCGAGATCACGTGATGCAGAGGGACGTTCACTGAGATCATCAGAGTTGATGTCAAGAGTCTCAATCTGTTATGATAGCAACATTTTGTTGAATGAATACTGATAACAACCAAATAAAACTATATTCAAGAATCAACAATTCGTTTAAAATTGTGTTAATATCGTTGCGTCAATGAAATACTCTTAAAACAATAACATTTATTTTGTTGATGATATACAAGTATTGACACCTGAAATTAGTACTAATTTCAATAGTTCTTGGATTCTTTTGAGACCGATATAATGGTGTTTATTCATAACTGATAGATAATTACATAGGTGATCAAAAGGTTTTTGATTGATCCAATCGATACTCTGGGCATTGCGGGTTAAATTAATAATAATATTGTCTAAATCATGTTGACCCGATGCCTGAGGCAGTAGTGGGGAAATATAAATGAAGGTCTTGGCCCATGATCTTAATTCTAACAGGACAAAATAGAATAAAACAAGAAGGCAAAACGGTCGCGAGCCAGTTACCAATCACACTACTCTTGAGAAAACCCTTTCCTATATTCTTTGGAGAACCTGAACACCCTGATTATGTTATTGACGACATTATAGTGGGGGAGCTATGATTGTAAGACAAGGGGGGGGGGGTTCCTTTCCCGGGCATACGATCTGGTAATTTTACTGACCCTAATACATATTCACATCGGAATGAGTGAGGGTGTGGTAGGGGTGGGGGATGATCCACATACTGGATCTCATAATCTTCACTCTGATTTTGTATTATGACGGAAATTCACTTTTCGCATCCACTTCCTGAAACGATCAACTTTTGCTACTTGCTTCTCCTTAACAGTGTTCCAATAGGAAGAGTAAAATTGTACACTTGCGTTTGACTCTATAAGAAAGAGTGCACCAACAGTATAACAAACATGTCGTGATTTGCTAAGAGTCCAACAAAATGTGATCAAATCGATACCTTTGCAGATGAAGCAATCGATGACGATGTTGAGTAGAAGTCATCGTGATACTGACCGTTGAGTGTCAGCTTCTTCAGATGAGTCATCTTACAGATGAACTGAGCGAGATCACGTGATGCATAGGGACGTTCACTGAGATCACCAGAGTGAATGTTAAGAGTCTCAATCTGTTGTAATAGTACGACATCATGTCGGATACACAATTGCTGACATTACTATACTGAATTATGTATAACATTAAATTTGTTTTGCTTCCACTAAATGCGTAATTTTTTTCCTAATTGTTTTTTCTCAACGGCGTACTATTTTATACAGTAAAATCATCCAAATTAGTTTGACTATCGAAATGAGTAAACTTCCAATGTATCCCCACACCCGTCATCTCGGCCGTGTAATATCCCATTAACGCGACTATTTCATGCATCTCCTCTGTCCCGTAATGAGCAATATATTTGTCCCTGATATGCATTCGAAAAACAAATTATATAGCGTGAATCAATTATGCAGAATTCTTAATTCAAAGCATTCTTCAGAAGACTCTATATTCTTGTCTCTAGACATGTCTGGACTCTTGAAAACGATACAATATTGGAGAAATACTTTCCTTTATAAAAAGTAAAAATATTAATTTTAGTTTATAAAACTTTAAGATGCAAACGTAAATTTGCATTAAGTATACATCTGTAAATTACATATTTATGAATGTTAAACTGTACAAGCATAAAAGGAATAGATTCATTACAAGGATAAAGGAATGGGAAAGAGGAAAATAAAGCAAGTGTTTGAGTGTGTGGCAAAGAGAGAGGGAGAGAGAAACAGGGAGCAAGTTGCCTTTGCACCAGCTTTTCGTTGTTAAGTGAGTTCCTATATTTTGGACCGTGTTTCAGGACGAATACGAGTGAAGGGAAGGTGGAAATGATTGGATTGTCTGGTTGGGTATTGTAATAATGGTTTGTACAGATATTATACAGTGCGTCCCAGAAAAACGAAACCGAGAATTATCGATGTTTTATTATCACTTAATCACAATTATAATCAATAAATGACACATATTTGGAAAGCTTATAGACCCCCCTCTTTCATTTGATGCAACTCATATGATTCCTTTCCCACGCATGAGTGATTAAAAGCAATTTGAAGAGAGGAAACCAAAAAGTCATTTGGCGGGCGGTATCTGAATTTTAAAAAGAAAATCAAATTTCTAGAAAGTTCAATTTCTGCCCTTTCAAATGACACCTCAATCAGGAAAAATGGGCCAGGACTAACAAAGTTTTTTTTGTTTAAAATAAGGCTTGCGTTTCCATAATTTGATAAAACGAGTTCGTTTTCACTGGCTATCTGCCGTATTAACAAACAGAGTTGACAAAAGACTTAACTCCGTTTTTTTGACGATCAGCCATGCACAAAGAAGACGAAAGACCTTATGCATGGCTGATCTTCAACGAAACGGAGTTAAGTCTTTTGTCAACTCTGTTTGTTGCTACGGCAGGTAGTCAGTGAAAACGAACTCGTTTGATCACATTATGGAAATGCAAGCATTACTTTAAACAAAAAGAACTTTGTTATTCCTGGCTCATTTTTCCTGATTGAGGTGTCACATGAAAGAGCAGAAATTGAACTTTATAGAAATGTGATTTTCTCCTTGAAATTCAGATACCGCCCGCCAAATGACTTTTTGGTTTCCTCTCTTCAAATTGCTTTTAATCACTCTTGCGTAAAATATGCATCATGTGAGTTGCATCAAATGAAAGAAGAGGACCTAAGCTTTCCAAATATGTGTCATTTATTAATTATCATTGTAATTAAGTTATGATAAAACATCGATAATTCTCAGTTTCGTTTTTTCTGGGACGCACTGTACTTTTAAACATGCTTAGTTAAAAAGTACATTACATCACGACAATAGGTACTGGAAAATTACGAGTTTCAAATAAGAAAAGTTAAGCTGTGTGATTTAGATTTGTTATGAATTATTCTAATAGCTATCTGTTTTAAAACAGTAATTGTATTGGTAGGGTTTTAATAGTGTTCTCCAGATCCTTTATCGAATATTCCCAGACTATTCCAACGGTTGCCATAATAGTCACCTTTAAGGAGAAAATAAATGACATGAGTGGATGAATATCAGCGATGAAAATAACATTTTGCAATATAAAAGTGAATAGAAACTTATGCAAAGAGTCAATCTATGGTTATACAATTCGGCCATCACTAATCCAAAAGCATAATCTTCTCGTTTTTTCGCAAACAATGTTATTTATAATGCTAAATGTATTACTCATTGCGGATATAGTATAGAAAATAATATTGCTAGTGATATTCCTTTGTCTCGCAATGTATGGTCAACAAGGGATCTGAAAGATCACAACGTTTCTCTGTCGCTGCTGCACTTCGTCACGTGACAAAATAAATTGTTGTTGTTGTTCTTGGGTTTTAAGGCTGACCAATCTAAAATAAATTGTACGCAAGCGTATTTTATACTCTACGGGTGGACCGGGTGGACCGGCGGTCAAATAATTAGAACAATAACGGACAAGGCCTATTGGTCGAAGCACACGGGTGCTCAACCAATCAACGGGCCGCTGGATCGATGTGGGGCGGCTGGACGGGTAGTGTCATGGCGGCGCACAACGCATTCAAAATACACGTATTAACCCTCCGTGTGTACCAATGTCAGGCTACGGGAAAGACACGGAGTCTCGTTATGCTACACCCCTTTAATATTATATAGTGGTCCGGGATTTCCTAAAAGAGCAGGGGCATCTTTTTGCCGGGGGAATAAGATTCGTTAAACACACTGACTCTCTCGTATTTTCCGATCGGGGAGAAACAAAAATCATTATAAACATTGATATCTTGTTTTCTTCCTCCTTTACCATTCACTAAAGTTAGGGCAAGTCCACTAAAAAAATAACTTACTTTCAATAAAAGCAGAAATATTGATAATAATATATTTTTGTGTGGATGCACTAATATAGAGTAATTTGTTTCAGTTAAATGATGAAAATTAACATTTTGATAAACTATTTATATAAAAATCGATGATTCTGAATTCATTCAGAAAATAGTATCAATTTTTTTCAAAGTTCATGAAAGATTTTGTGAAATGCCATGCACGCAATATGATCCAAATCAAATCACATAACCTGGTCAAAGGAATGGGAAAATCAAGGTTTGGGGGATAAAAAGGGACACGAATGGGATAAACATATGTTCAGCAATTGTTAGGAGATGAACAAACAGCATGTGAATGCGGCCAGGAACAGAGAATGGAACACCTGCTAGTCTGCCCACTCCTGCCAGAGTCATGCACCCAAGATGACCTGGAAGCCGTGAATTGCCGTGCCAAAGCATGTGTGGACCACTGGACGGGACTTGTGTAGTGACTCGATAAGAAGAAGCAATTGTTAAATAGTGAGGCAATAAGGCCACAAACCGATAACCCAATTGGCAATTTGCTTAGTGATTTTCTAAGTTCCGTAGTTTATAAAAATTCATAATCTCCTTATTAGTTATCCGACTTCACCCCTTTTTTGTTTGGCTCTGTTTTGCTTATGTTTTTTCTGCATCTATTAAAAGCAAATTATTTTTGGAACGGGCTTATCCTTTAAACTAGGGAAGAATTGGGGAGTTAAGATTAGAGTGATCAAAGATGAAGAAAATAATTGATTTGGCAACCCACTGGCTTAAATCATGAAATGTAACATCAAACATAAATAGTTTAAAGATACTATGTCCCTGTTGCAGCCGACATTAAATTCTGTAGAACTTTGCAGGAATTATGAATATGTCATGTTTGTCCTATTTGTAAAATTTAAAAAATAGCAGTGTCATAGTATTCAAATTATGCAAGGAAATCCGGTCCTTCTAGACTTCACATGGGCATTTCTCTACATCAATAACCCACTACTTGTAATGGCCATAATTAGACTGATTGAATCCTCGTGCAGCAAAAAACGTACAACCATTCGGTAAAAGGGTATGAAAATCAAACTATTGCTTAGGTGGTTGCAATCACTTTAGTCGATTCGACAACTACTGGTCGTTATTTTCCCACTAAAAGCCATTTTCAAGCCCTTTCGTTTTGAGGGAAGTTTAAAATTAGTATTGTCTTTCAAATGCCGTTGGAATTTAACCTTTTCATTTTTTTAAATGTAATATTCTCTCTTTTTTGTGTTAAAAATAAATTCAAGATGTTTGAAATTAATGTACTTTTCTAAAAACCAAATCTCTGTTTCCCAGTATTCTCCTAAGTTATTTTGATCTTATGACACCAGGAAAACCATTATTCTGACTGAATATGGCATCCATTTTTTTTTAAAGAATGATGTACCAAATAAACGACAAAGTGGATGATACAAAGATTTATACTGACCTTGCCTGCTTTATTCGCAAGCACCGAGTAGAAAACATCATGCATAGTACCAGTAACTCGAGTAAGATGGATCGTAACAGATCTCAGTGATCGTGATGAGCACATGAATTCAGCCAGGTCCTCCGAAGCCGTGCGTCCACATGGTTTATCAATGATCAGATTATCCTACAATGAACATGTACACAAATAATATTGTGAGGCTAGAAACATAAACCATCAACATAATAGTATATTATCCTGATTAATCACCTTCATTGATACTGACTTTTTAATAATCGTTTTTTTCCTTCCATTTTCCGTTTGGTTCTTATTTTGTTTTCATAATCTAGATATCGATATGAACATCAAATAATATCTTAACAACATTACGCATTTTAAAGGAATTATTGTGATCCCACAAAATATAAAAAAATTGGGTTCAGTACGTTATCTCATAATAATTCAAGTAAGCGTTTTATCATATTGGTTTGAACAGTATACACTTGAAAATCCTTTTGGGATTGGTGATATTAAAAGCGTTATTTTATAAACAAGGTTTCATTGCAAATGCATGCAAGACGAGTTGTACTGCAATAACAATAAATCACAACTCCTATTAACAGACTAAGTCCTAATGCTCATTAATTCCTGTTAATAATAGTTCATTTTGTTCGTGTATATTGCAGTGTTCAAATTAAATATCATGATCGGAGTTGTACCCATGCTAGATCCATAGAAGTTGCTTTAAACATGCTCCTGATTTAATAAAATGTATTCTATCAAGCTTCTGGGTGAATTTGGGTGACGAGAAGTTTGTACAGTATGCATTGCCTTATTAGTGCATGTTGGGGTTCAAAGCATCGTTCGTATACACATTATATATTTACAGTCATGTGTTCAAACCAAACGACGTCATCCTATTAAAGTCTCAGAGAATGAAATTTAAATCAAATAGAAACTCTGTCACTCAAAAAGATCAAACAAAGATGAAATGTATACGTTGCTACAATTCGAAGTTGAATATTTTCCTTACCACTTTACGATGGTTCATGATGAAAGTATGCCCTGATACTGTGTGTGCCTGCATCTCCTTGGTGATCTTCAGTGTCTTTATGGACGTAGTCGATAGATGATCCGCCACGGCTTTGGTCACTTCTTGGTCTTGGCTCTCATATGCTACATCTACGATGAAGTCATCATCAATACGGCCCTGTGTGCGCTTTGTTTTTGACTCTATGAGACGAGATATGATATCCAAGCCGACCTCCTTCTGCTGAGCCGAAGTAAAGTACAATAGGTACTGGTATTCCACTGCTTCCTTTATGATATTCGCTATCAACCTGTAATACTCATTACGGTTTGACTGATAAAGGGATGCAAGATACATTCCTGATAGATACTCCTGGAAGAGCTTATGGGGAAACTGCACCGATTGGACTACTGAATTTGGAGTGTTTCTCCTGTCTCGCCTCGGAAGAATTTTCTTCTCTCTGGTGAGTACACCAACTTTACAACCTACATCGATGGACTCTGGATAGCTCTGAAACTCTTCTTCTGTGAATACTAACCGTCTTTCGAGAAGCCCCTGGAAGGCAATGCGGCCGATGTGAATCAGGTGATGACGAATATCTGAACAATGCTCACTTAATTTGCCTCCAACAATACCTAAAGATGGAATGTGCTTCGATAGGTGATGATCAACCAAAAAGTCAATCATCTGATTGAAGAGCTGGGAAAATGTTTGCAGCTTGGACATTGCCTCTCGGCGCTCTCCATCAAACTCTTTCCACATGATACACAGCATGGCTGTGTATATGGGGTAGGGAGCCATGTTCTCTCTGATCACATCGTTGTTCGATATGAATCGGTTCAGATCTTCAGAGGAAGCTGCATCTGGATGAAAGAACTTGGTGATGTAAGAAGAGAGGTTTTCAGCAGAGAAACCTTCTACAGCAATGAAAGCAAACACCTTTCTGAGATCGGCATTCTTCCTAATCTCATCTGATCTCCATTGTCTCGATGTGATTAGTACTGTCCCTGACTTGAACAGATGATTGAGAGTGATCAGGGCGATTTGCTGATTGCTGTCAAGATCGACAGCAAACTCATCTAGGCCATCCAAGACAAGAAAAACGTCATCCGGATTTGAGAGGATGTGCTTGTCTAGCTGTTTGGCTGTGACGGGATTGTTGTCAGAAAGATACGACTTCACTATCTCTCCAACAGTCTTGCCCTCTGTCTTGCGAAGGAGGATGACAAGAACCAGTTTGAAATCTTGGTAGGCTTTTCCGTGGATCCAATCCCAAGCGATCTTGGCGCAAAAAGTGGTCTTTCCTACACCACCTTCACCTTCTACCAACAAGCGTTTGGGATAGGTTCCGTTGACTTTGGTCCTGAGGAGGTCATCGTAGAGAAGCGGTGTCTTGAGTTTTGTACCTTTGTCTTCTTCCATCAACGTTAGATTGGTGAAGATACGTTTGAATTCAAGTACAAGTTCACTGTTCAGTGGATCGGCTTGAATCTGGCATAGATGAATTGCCAAATAGTGTTTGACCTCTTCAGCAACCCGTTGGATTTCCTTCTCTGTCATGGACGGTATGTGATCACCAACCTGACCTGTGATGAGAATGGTGAAGAACGTTGTCTTTAGCATGACTAGAAAAATATGACCAGTGTTTTAATATCACACAACAGCAGTACTACCATCAGCAGCAACAACATGGAAGAAATCACCTTGGAATTGCCCCCCCCCCCTTCCCCCCTCGGTTCTCTCTCTCTCTCTCTCTCTCTCTTTTATATTGCAGTATCCAACAGTATCTACGAAACCCTATAAATAAACGTTAACTATTGCAATGAAACTCGTTATATAGTAGCCTTTAATCATGGCGGCTTTGCTGCTCTATCGATCCAATGATCGTCCTCAAAAAATAGAATAGTCATCTGATTGCACGGAAAGTCGACACTTGCGTGCAGCTTGCTGTAAGCATAGATGCTGTAAGTCGCCTTTAGTAACTACCGAACCTTGTTGTTGTTGTTCAGCATTATATGGCAATCAGTCAAATTCGACTATTATCACTCACTAAATTGTATTTTCTTAATTCTAACTTTAATTCTGAAAATTGATTGACCTCTCTTTTTAAAAATTCTTTTCCTAATGTAGGTTGTTAATAATGATAATATGTTATCGTGGTTAATATTTATAATACAACATTTAAGCTTTCTAGTCAGAATATAAGCAGAATCGGCTATAAATCGTAGACGATCGCACTATTTGTATGATGTCACTATGATTCTTAGCTGATGTAGCTATTCCTCCTCGAAGGGAACGTGAAATCCATTCAAACTTCAATTTCATTCATCATATGACTATTTAAATCATCGTTCATTTAAAAATTTAAGTTTAAATGTTCATGTCAAATGCTATATATTGCAAATTATTCCCAATAATCACATCGTATAGCACGCGGAGTGGTTTAGAGTACCAGTTGCTTTGATCTATAGCCTATCCACTATCGCATGTTCTCTCAACAGGTCAATCGTTAACCGGATTGTGTATCTGTCCTTTTGTGTAATCAATGATGATGTTACGTCCCCGCCCCTTTTTTGTTTAATTGTTTACATTGGAGAGTAAAGTCGAGTTTGTAAGTGTTCATGATGTTCCGAAGGGACATCCAGTTTGATACACATGTAACTGTCTGTTTCCAGTATTGAAGCATGTACTGTGTTTGATAGTAAAGCAAACGTTTTTGCTGTTTCAGAGTAATATGTATTCGGAATACATATACAGCTGTATTTCTATTTCAGCATGTGTATGGTGTACTGAACAAACAGGAAAGAACACAGGAGGGGAGAGTGGTCACGCCATTGAATTACGTCATGATCTACTGTACTCCCATCTAATAAAGTCACCATGGAACTACAAATTCTCCTTAAGTCGCCTGGTGTTTTCATCTCCTGGTACAGCTCCGCTCCTGGTACAGAAAATGAACCAATCAGAAACAACATCCTGACGATCGCATGGTGAAGGGCCAATGGTCGCGGCTCCTTGTATTTCTCTGGTCATAGGTAACGAGTTGTACTGCCTTATTCGGTAAAGTTTTATGAATATTGATTACGACTTCTGGTGCGATCAGATGGCTTATTCCGTGCGTTTCGAGGATCGACCATTGGAACGACGTGCCAGAGCAGCATTGTGACTGAAGGATACTTCTTAGTTTGCTGCGCTGCTTTAATGGATTACGTAATAGTACTTATAATTGTATCTCATAATGCTTGAACTTTTTTTAAATTTTTAATAAGGCTCTTCTATTTCATAGAACTTTGTGAAAAGTTACATATAAGTTTTCATATTTTGTGTTGGGGTGTGCTCAATTGTGTTGGATACTGCATATATAGGCGTAAACGTGTTTTTGCCGGTGGGGATGGTCGTGTGTGTACGCATGCATGTGAGTAATACTGTACCTTTCTGTACGCTATCAGCAAGCTGTACCAGCTTAATTTGTTGTAACGTGACCACCAACGCCTCCCTCGCCTCGCTATCACGTACTCTCTTCCGCCATTCGTAAAGCATCTTATAGATAGCATACAGAGTGTTGCCCATCTGATCTTTCTCAAACCGACTTAGTTCAGCCTCAGTGAATTCCAAAGCTAGTCCGACCTTCCTGAAATCTGATGGATCCATACTGTCAGCAAGGAGATATAGTTCGAGGTCGGTCAGGTTCCCAGGTCTAAATCATTAGACAAAAGAAAGGGGGGGAAATAATATACAGCTTAAAGGTAATACAAAGTTTTGGTAAATTTTGAAAATTGGGTGGATAGTGATTCTTTACAATTTTGATGTATTTGGATGCCTATGTGGATGTATTATAAGCACTAGAAAATTTAGCTCCTAAAACACTTCTGCCTTCGAGAAAAATCAAATATAAAAATTTACCGGTGCTCCCGGTAAATTGTGATAAATTTCAAATAGCGCCTACGGCCGTACAATGGTAGCTGCGACTATGAAAATCTAAGAATATGTAGTTGTGATATATAATTTCCAAACGGGAATAGCTAATCCGCCGATTTTAGTCAAGAAACATCGTTTTATAGTTTAATTAATATCTTGACCTTAAGAGGGAGCTATACAACATAAAAAGTTTATTATTTACAATTTCTTAATTTTAGACTTGATTTCGACCGCGACAATGATCACTTTAATTGTAGGATCGCTTATGCTTCTAATATGTTCCTTTGAACAAAATTCATGACCCCTTACCAAAACTTTGTATTACCTTTAAATATTTGTGTGAGGTTTTATAATCAAAGGACTTTCCTTTGATTATCATCTCGAGTGAATACCCTTGTTTGCATTGCAGGGGCGGCGATTTCTTTTCATGACCGGGGGGACGAAACGCGAGGAACGAGGGGGGAGTGACGTCATGAGCAAAACGTTTTTTTTTTTTTTTTTTTTGGGGGGGGGGGGGGAGAAGAAAAAAAAGTCCGAATCATCACCGCTCTTACATGTTATAGCAGGCCCCGCGGAACGTTTTTCGAAGTGGGAGGGGGGTGGGGGGGGGGGCTAAAGTATTTACGATCAGATAGGGCAAAGCAAGTGGAGTGTAAATCGGCGTGGGGTCCTGGGGCAAAGCCAGGGCCCTGGGAACGATTAAAAAAAAAAAATTAAAAAAGCGTCATTTGTGGCTGTCGGCTGTGTGACAATTTCGTACACGAAGCATAATGATATACATTAAATATATCAGACAAATTTTTTTTTGCAGGGGGTGCGCTGCAGCACTCCCAGCACCCCCGCTTCCCAGGGCCATGGGCAAAGCCCCGGCGGGGGTCAAGTCTTTAGGCATTTAATAAGGGTCAGATGAGCATATTTTGATACCTTATTTGTGACACTTGTATGCAGGTCACAAATCGGAGTGGGGACCAGGGGGGCGAAGCCCCCCAGAAGCTCAGCGCTTTCAGGCATTAAATTACGATCAGATGATCATCCAGGGGCCGCCTTAGGGCCCGTGGTGGGGTGTAGGGGGCGGAGTCCCCGGAAGCTCAAGGTTTTAGGCCTTTGAACATGGTTAGATGAGCTTCCAGTGGCCCGCTTAGGGCCCTGGTGGGGTCCAGGGGGCGGAGCCCACGGAAGCTCAGGTGTTTTAGGCATTTAATTATGGTCCGCTGAGCAACAAGGGGGCCTTAGGGCCTTGGTGGGGCTAAGAGGGCAAAGCCCCCGGAAGCTCAGAGAAAATCATGCCATTTCAGCAACATTTGTAAATTAGTCACTGGTATCAAATTAGAAATAAACCACGTTTGAATTTTATCGGGGGGGGGGGGGGGGGTACTGCCCCAAGCCCGAGTGAGTGAGCATAGTGAACGAGAGGGGTGAAGGTGACGAAATTGACTACTCCCTCACAGGTTTTGTTGTATTACAAAATTATATTCCTTAGAAAAACTTTAGTATGAAAAGAAAGAATATACTTTTTTCACACTTTACTTTCTACAATATTTACTTGAACATTTTAAAGGATATTATGCGAGGGAGCATAGCTCCCGAGCCAGAAGATTTTTACATTTTTATGTCTAAACGCTTAATTTTTAAGTCTAAACACTGCACTCTTGGACCCTCCAAAGCCTAATAGTGTGTTGCAGTCTTTAGTCAGTATTTGCTGTACATTATTTGTTTGCACTTTTTCAAATTTTCCGGGGGGGACGATCCCCTCCTACAAAAATCGAGGGGGGGACGTGTCCCCCCGTCCCCCCCCCCCGGGATCGCCGCCCCTGTTGCATTGCATTAAAATATTTTCCAACATTTGCTAGAAATGCAAGCACTCCAAAAACATTGCAAAATAAGGACCTGTTAACATAAGGGAAATACGCGAAACTTCTACTGTCACCATTTGCTTTCATTGATCAATTGGTATATTCCAATTAATATTTTTTACCAACAAACTCGTTGGCTCGTATTCTGCCAAAATTTAGATCTCGTGGTGGGTTAAGGCTTCAGTTTATAATCGGATTTAGAATGGAAATTAGTCTGAAGTTTAATTAAGTTTATCTTAAAACGTGATCTCCTACCAAGGGTCGGGCGTACCTCAATGAACAGAATAAGAACCAAAGGGTCTGGCGTACCTCAATGAACAGAATAAGGACCAAAGTCGCTCTTTCATTGTGCTTACTTATCATTTGGGCCAGGGTTTTGTTCTACATCACCGGATCTCAATAGAAGTATGTTGGTCATGTCTGGACAGTCATTCCCTTTAGTTTCATCTGCTTCACCACTGGTTGTCCCTGATCCGAGGACCGGATAGATCGGGGAATCATGATACTCCTTTACTTCCTAAGGATGAAGAGAAAATTACGATGAAAACTATCTACATGTCATACTGAGATAACATAATGTGCCACAATGTATTTCTTGAAGGGATCTTTATATCAATGGTTTCTAGTTTATTCTTAAATTCATAATACAACAATAATTAGCGCAGACAAATGTTAGAAGGTGTTCATGTAGCCATTGAATAAGATGGGCGGACAATTTATGATACTCCGTTACTTCCTTAATGAAACTTATGGACAAAAGGCAATTTTCAAAAAAAATGATCAGACATTATTTGAACAAAAAATACACGTAGTTTACGCGAGTATAAGAAATCTGTGAAAAGTGTAAATGGCAATTTACCACTATTTACGGTTGCCACAAACGTCAAACCTACACTTTTAACAGCAAATTTAAATAAGCTATAATAGCCTACACCTTTTGTAACTCCAATTTTGCTAGTTACATGTTAAATGTCCTGTCTTGTTCAAAACCCCGTTTCTCAAAAAAATTATATACAGTTTTGGGGGAAGTTTTTACTTTGATTTATTGTTCGCATGGTTTATCTCACTGTTTTTGTCTTTCTTTGTTGTTTTTATGTGAGTGGCGTGGTTCTAGGAAATGCATATCAATCATACCCTGATAGATGATGTTCTTTGGTTGGTATTTTTCGTGGTATCTAGCCTGTGTTTAGGTGATAGGTCAGATGATTGGTCCTCTTTCCTTTCCTTGACGTCTTCTACACAGGGTCGGGGAACTGAAATTGTCACGTCAGTGGTACCAGGGACAGGGTTGGTCTCTTTTTCAATTGAAGAACCACTGTTTTGAGCACATGAAGACTCAGAGTGAGAGACATCGTTATGACCGGGGTTGTTTACATCGCATGGGAATCCACTCTCCCTGACAGTATCACACTTTGGGCCGTCAGATTGTGAGAGAGTCGGTGAGCTTACGTTACCTTTGCCATTGTTGACGTCACGTGAAGGCCCTGTTTGAGCAGAAGATGTAGACTGACGGGCCGTGTTGCTTGGAAAACTATTCGCATCGGGAGAAGAGCCAGTGCGAGATGAGATGTTACACTCAGGATTGTTGTTTTCTTTGGGTGGCTCAGCATTCTTGGCTTTTTCATTAGGTTGTGAAGTTTCCTCCAAAAGAAGTGGTAGTCGTATTCTTTCCTCCGACGTCGCATGAACGTGCCGATCCTGACACGCCATTCACCAAGAGACACAGGCATGGTGACATCAGGATACTGTGTTATTAAAGAGGAAAACAAAGATTAATGCAGAGTTAGTTCATGAGAAGGTCAACATGACTTTGTATAAGAAAATAGTGTCAAATCTTTGTACGGGTTTATCTTAACTTGCCATGTATGGAATACGTATTCATTTTAAATTACATAATATCTCATCTTTGAAAGTCAATTTAATGCATGGTGCTTAAATGTAAATTTGCACAACTCTTTATATTCCGCAATCCCCTCTAAACAACTACCACCGGGAAAACGGCCCTGTGTAGAGGTGCAGTAACAAAAGCTTTATTGGGGGGGGGGGGGGGGGGTAGTTTTTTTACGGGTTTACTGTTGTCGTAGATGTTTCTTGTGCGGGATGTAAGTCCGGAGTAGCCATCCAAAAATGTCATGAAGCTATGGCAGAAGCTAAATATTTTCAATGCATTATGTCAGACAAAGACAGAGTTACAAAGGAGCATCTGGAGAATGGGTATGTATTATGTGCCCACGTTGTGCGCGTGTTGTGTGTATGTGTGTGTGTGTGCGTGTCTGTGCATGCAACACAAAGAAAAATTGTTGCCGTTGATTCTTTCGATACAAATGGGAAACGGGGTATACATTTTCTCTTTCATGGGCGAGCAAAATAATCAGAGTCATTGTCAGTTAAAACATGACCACAACGGAAAGTGCAGCTATATCCTCGTCTGGTCCATTTCGCAGAAAATCCCTTCGTGTTTTTTTGTTGTTGTTAATGCACGTGGCGTGTGGAGCGATACACTGTTAGAACAAGTATTACAATTTTTAATCAAGTTGGTTAAAATTTTAATCAACCACGGATTACCAGGTGAATCACACAATCGTTGGTTAAACTTAACCAACAGCCTGTTGATTAAAATTTAACCTGTGGTTGATTAAAATTTTTAATCAATTATTGGTTAAAAAAATTTGCTCAATGTTGGTTAAAATTGTGTTGATTAAACTTTAACCATTTGTTGATTAAAACTTTAATCTTTTGTTGGTTATTTATGCTTTGTTTGGGGCTGATTCACATGTTGTTGGTTAAACTTACTTGGGTCGTTGGTTAAAATTGTAACCATTGTAGGTTAATTCTTTTTGATTCACACGATGTTGGTTAAACTTTAGTGGGTTGTTGGTTACAGTTATAACCCCTGTTGGTTAAACTTACGGGTGTTTGGAGGTCTTATCCTCGTGTTTGCAGGTAAGAAATTGTTTAATATGATTATCATCAATGCTAAGATTGGAAGGAAGAAGTGAAATAAGGTTCTTGCTCAAATTAAAAACGCTTTGTGTCCCGGCCCGTAGGTTGTAGCTCATGCAGCCAGTAAGTGTAACGGATGACCTACCCAAATTGCATGCATGAAGACGTTTCACTTTATGATGACATCTTATTTTATATTTAATTGTTTTAAACAATTAGATACAATTAGATTTAAAAAATAAGATTATTTTTCATGCATGCAATTTGGGTAGGTGATCCGTAATAGGCCCACACTTCTCCTTCTTTAATTGGGTCTGCCTCCTTCACGGTTGAAGATTCTTGCAGACTGATGAGTGTGTGTGTGCTTACGTTATTAGCCAGGTGCACGGTGCAAGTAAAATGTTACTTATTGGTTGAGCTACGTCGGGAGCTACGTACAGCCTAGGGGACACAAATCGTTTTTGATTTGAGCAAGAACCTTATTTCACTTCTTCCTTACAATCTTAGAATTGATGATGATAATATTAAAATAATTTCTTACCTGAAAACACGGAGATAAGACCGTCCAAACCCCCATTTCCTCAGCGTCCTCGCGACAACCTCCATTGTTAATTTTGTCGCACGCGTAAACTGCATGTACTTTGCATGTACTTTATTTGTACGTCGAGCGATCGCTAGCTACGCGCTTCGATAGCGTTCTGTTGGGTCACGTGACCAGTACTTTAATCAACATTGATTAAACTTTAACCGGAAGGGGGCTATCATTACTGTCGGAATTTTGTTTTTAATCCATGCTGGGTTACAATTTTTGCAAACGACTTAGACTTAACCAACATAGGTTAAAAGGAATAAATTTGATCAACACTGTTTTTAACCAACGCAAGATTAAAAGTAAATTTTAATCAACACTACATTTTTAACCATTGTTGAGCGTTTTTTAATCAACAATTTTTTAACCCGCATTTTTTTAATACTTGTTTTAACAGTGTAGTACTCCATGCAAACATCGGACGGGCATTTTGCGAGCGTCGCACAGGCTTCTTGTGGTGGTCTTAAAGGCCCACTGTACTACTTGTAGCTACTTGCTCCATCTATATAGAAAACAATGCCTAATCGGTGACCATTGGTCCCCATGATCCTCTTTTTCTTATGTTATTTGAGAGCTGAGTTGATGAGATAACCACCTGTCCAGTGACCTTGCAGGGTGCTCTAATCCCTCCTGTAAACTAGTACTGATAAGCTTTAAAGAAAAAGTGTGACGTCGTACACCTGGTAGGAATTTATTCCTTGAAACGCAGCGCGTTTAACAGCTGCACTGCTAAAGCCAGGGTAATTATGCTGCATTATTGAGAGCGCTTAGAGACTTCTGACATAGTAAGTGTTATGCTAGGAGTCCACTGGGCCGGCGCCAGTTGGTGTCAGTTCGCGCCAAAGATTATGTGATTGGCGCGTAGTGGCTCGCTGTGGCGCCGAATTAATGTCCGCTCGGCATGTGTCGCCAAGTGGCATAAACTGGGTACCATATGGCGTGCGCCAAATGCCACCCGGCTTGCTCCAAAATGTTGCGCCAGTTCGCGCCAGTTTGCGCCATTACACGGCCATTTGATTCCAAAATTCACCCTGTTGGCGCCATTCGCGCCAATAGACGGCTACTTTGCGCCACTTGGTGATTAGTTTGTGCCAAAGGTCGCCAAATTGGTTTGAACTTGCCGCCGCTTGGCGCTACTTGCCGACTAAATAAATACCGGCCATTGGCTACCTGGTTCAGACCCTCCTCAGCTGCTGTATGAACAACATCTCTACTAAATATTTACAATTTTGATATGTCTGAGGCTTTTGATAATGTTGGAGTGATGATGCTGCTCCATCAGAAGATGATGAGAGATTCTGAGGTGGCCACTGCCTATCAACTTATGCTGGCCAATCCTGAAGAAGAAGAGCCTCCTAAGAAGAAAAGGAAGCACAACTGGTGGTTTAGACCCATGCTCCACCCAGTTGAGGGCCGAACGTGGACAGTACCACACTTTGATGGAAGAGCTGAGTGAGAATGACAGGAGGAAGTTCAAGAACTACACCAGGGTGTCCCCAGAGATGTTTGATGACCTGTTGGTCAGGCTTACACCCCACTTGCAGAGAAAGGACACCCACATCAGGAAGGCCATTCCCCTGGTCTCAAGTTGTCCGTCTTCCTGCGCCATCTCGCCAATGGGGCCACCTATGCCGAGCTGTCTTTCAACTTCCGAATGGGCAAGGAAACCATCCAGAAGTTTGTCCCTGATGTAGCCAGAGCGGTAGTGGATGAGTATGCTGCAGAAGTCATCTCCCTCCCCACAACCAATGAAGGCTGGCTTGAGGTTGCAGGTGATTTTGAAGCCAGATGGAATCTTCCTCACTGTCTTGGAGGCTATGATGGAAAGCACATCCGTCTCCAGAAGCCCAACAAATCAGGCAGCCTTTACTTCAACTACAAGCAGTTCTTCTCGGTTGTCCTGATGGCTCTGGTAGATTCAAAGTACCAGTTCCTGTGGATCGATGTGGGTGGGGTTGGCCATCAGTCTGATGCCCAGATCTACAACAACAGTGAACTGAAGGAGTGCATTGAAGCTGGCACTTTAGGCATCCCAGATCCAGCTCCTCTTCCCCATGATGATGAAGAGCACCCTATGCCGTACTTCTTCGTGGGAGACTATGCCTTCGCCATGAGGACGTACATGATGAAGCCTTATGGCCATCGTAACATGGACCAACAGCAGAAGATCTTCAACTACAGGCTGTCCAGGGCAAGGCGTGTGGTTGAAAATGCCTTTGGTATTCTGGCTCTGCGGTTCCAGTGCTTCCTTGGCCAGATGAGACAGGAACCAGACACAGTCCGCTTGCTCATTGAAGCTGCCGTCATGCTGCACAACCTCATCAGGAAGCACTATCAGGCATGGGACGTCCTAGAGCTTGGAGAACTGCCGCCATCACTGTGAGAAAGTCCTGCGATGCCGCCCTGCTGTTATAGGCGGCAAGTGGCGCCGAATGGCGGGCAATCAGGTGGCATTTGGCGCGAAGTAGTCACCAATCGGGTGCCGTTTGGCTCGCGTAGTGGCGCAAACAAGGTGCCCCTTGGCGCCATGTGGCGCGAAATCTCATTGGCGCAACTTGGCGCGCGCCATTACATTCCAGTGGATTCCAATAGGCGGATTTTTTGCGCCAAAGGGCGATATGTTCGCGCCATTTGGTGCCACTTGGCGGACACTTGGCGCTGATTGCTCGATGCAAGTGGCGCGACGAAAATTTCAAACATTTTGAAATTTTCTTGCCGCCACATTCAAATTTGGTGCCGTTACGGGCCACCACGAGCCAGTTGGGAGGCAGTTTGAGCCACTACACGCCACTAGGCACCTTATTGGCGACACTAGGCGCCACAGTAAATTGCATTGGCGCAAACTGGCGCCAACTGGCGCGGCCCAGTGGACTCCTAGCATAATGCGCTATATATAAGCACTGTAATTATTATTACACAGCTATATGCGCAGCCGTAGCAGTACGTCGCACATCAGGGGCTTTTCGTTTGTGTGGACGAGGATGCCGTTCCCTTCATCAACTATGCGAATTGGCTGCAGTCAGTTTTGGCTGTTCACTACTTTATAACCCTTTCGTTTGCAGTCGACGCCTGTTCTTTACACTATGACGTGATTGGCCCCCGCGCGCGTTTATTCAATTTCGCCTTCTTTCACTTCTCATGTTATTCTTCGTTATAATCCTATCATTTTTTTAATCTT